TTTTTTTTTTTTTTTTTTTTGTCTTTTTTGCTTGTCCGGCAACGGATCGCAACCCTCAGTGTTGCCCTCGTACCGGACCGGGGACCGGCGACGGGATTGCAAGCCTCGGCGTTGCTCCCGCGCCTCGCTCAGCCAGTGAGCGGGAACCGGTCTGTATGTGGGATCCGAACCCTTGGAGGGAGCGCGGCGGCGCTCCCAAGCGGTGCACTGTGGCAGTGCGCCACCGGGCTGGCCCCACATTTTATTTTCTATAAACTTTTCAAAGACCCCTTGTACATAACCTCCTGATTTGAATTAGGCAGGTCTTGTTATCATTTTTTATAGAGAATTGATGTTCACATAGTGACTTATCTTTGGCTATAATCTTGATTTGAATTCTTCTCACTGTTATTTCAACCAAACTATATTGCTTTTTCTTCGTATTAGATGTCTGAAAAATCAATTGCATTTAATATATTATTTGCCATTTGTTCTCCACGGTTAAATTGATGCTTCAGTTTGTTAGTGTAATAGGATTTTAAAGCTGGTTGAGAGACCTCAGATGTCCTCTAGTCCTATGGCTTTATGAGTAAATGAGGCCTGAAGGAGTGACATGGCTTGCTCAAGATCATCCAGCTAGCTAAACTCAGATGGCCCAGAATAGACCAGAATCCAGGTCTCTATTTCTAGCCCAGTGGATTTCTTCCCTTCTTCTCACCCCTACTCCTCCTCCCATCTTTTACAGTTGATATTCTTAACATAAATGAGTTCTTTAAGTGCTGTAGCAATTTAGGGGATTAATATAAGCTTTGCCATTATATTACAGTATTTATTTCTGAAAAGAGAGTAATGATGAGGGAGGGGAACGAGTGGTATATGTATATACACTATACAAGCCTCCAGCTCTTTTTTTTTTTTAAGTATTTTATCTCCTGATGTTTGCTTTTGTTAATATATACTCATTCAGTAGTGAATTCCTTCACTAAGTATTTAGCATACTAGAAGATTATTAAAATTCAAGGCATAAAATCAGTAAAACACTTAGCATATTCTTTTCCTCACCAGTGTGTGCGTGTGTGTTTTTTTTTCTCTTTTCAGTAGTACATCTCATCAGTATGGCTATTTTTAGTCAAGTGCACATGGTGCCTTGAACCACTTATGTAACATTTGTATTGAAACAGACACACACTTCTCTTACCCGTTTGGCTCTGCCTTTCATTCCCTTGAGAGCAACCCACAAGGAATTTCCTCCCTATTTCAGAGAGAGGAAGGAATTACTAAAACACTGGTTTTGGTTCTGTTCTGCTTCCAGCCTGAAAGGTTCAGTACCAGTATGACAGAATTGTGTAAGGCTAGTAGACTAATGCATGAACCCAGTTCTATTTTCATAAGCTAACAACTGCCCTCTGGTAACCTTTAGTTTTTGGCAGAATGGTCTGGATTCAAACCAATGACCTTGAGATAAAAGGCTCCAGATAATACAATTGGTCCCCATGCTCTCACAGTTCCCTTACTTAAGCAATTAAAGTCCACAGCAGGATGCTTAGTAACTTCTTTTCTGCATAGAGACCAAAATAAAGGACTTTTTTTTTAAAGAGGTGGTCACAAGTTTTGAACCAAAAAGTTAAAAGAAAAATCATAATTTGTCTGTTTTTTAATGATTGGAAAAATCTCCACCTTCCCTGAAGTTCTCCCCATTTCTTGTACCTTTCTTACAAGTTATTACAATATTTTACCTTGTGTTATTCATGTTTGTCTTTCACTAGTGCAAAAACTATGACATAGCCATCTCTGTACATCCCACAATACCTGGTACAGTAATTGTGTGCATAATAGTTTATTAATAAATGTCTGCTAATTGTATGAAAAATAATTTTTTAATTAAAGAAACATTAGCTGTAATAATTATAATAAAGCTTAGAAAATTTCTTGTTGAAAATTGTAATCAATTAGCTTTTCAAAAATGATTTATTTACAAATTCAATATTTGAACACAGGGCAGAATCTAGACAGTATGCTACATGGCACTGGGATGAAATCAGACTCTGACCAGAAAAAGTCAGAAAATGGAGTAACCTTAGCACCAGAGGATACCTTGCCTTTTTTAAAGTGCTATTGCTCAGGACACTGCCCGGATGATGCTATTAACAACACATGCATGTAAGTATTTTATGCAGTCCTTAAGAGTTAAGAGAATAGAGTTGCATTTAGTGCTATTTTAGGAACTGTAAAAATTGAGTTGTTTTGGTTTTTTCTGTATAAATGGTATCTTTTCAAAGAGCTAGAAAGCTTCTTGCTTTGTATATAGGAACATTATTACCATTAAGTGATTGATTACTTTATTAGAGTTACATTATAATATAGTTTTTTAAAGAAGATAAAAGGAATCTAGTGTTTGTCTAACATTTTGAGTTTATTTAATGATTTTTTTTATCATAAAGTTATTGATGCTTATTGTAGAAAACTTAGAGATTATAAAAAAGAAACCAAAAAATTTATCCACAACCTTCTACTTTTTAATTGGTTGAAATATTTTACAGATATATTAGAATGATATTGTGATAATTTTATATTTTCTTATCTGTGAAGTCCCCAATTAAAATCTGATTGTATAACTATTTTAGTTTTCCTACTTAATTTTATGTTAACTGTATTCAACACGTTTATATATGATCATGTGACTTTATCCTTATTCTTTGGGGACATTGAAGAATTGACTTCCTAGACAAAAATTTCCTGAACAGCTCGGTCTCATCAGTCAGTTTATATCCTAGAGAGATAATAATGTCATGTTTTGTATTTTCCTAATAAATGTATGCTCTTTAAATGGACCATGTATGAAACATGAAACTTTATAAAACTTTTTATGTAAAATCTTGAGTCGATGGCCATACCACCCTGAAAGTGCCCAGTCTCATCTGATCTCAGAAGCTAAGCAGGGGTAGGCCTGGTTAGTACTTGGATGGGAGACCACCTAAAAATACTGGGCATAGTAGGCTTTAAAAAATTTAAACAAAAATTTTTTTTTGAAGTTATGTGATGGTTCATCACGTCTGAGATGTGCCGTTTGTTCTCTGATGGTGGTTGACTTTACTGGGCAGGCCACCAGCTAGTTCTCAGTTTATGCCTTCCCAGAAGTTCTGTCTGTAGGGAGTGCTCTCCGTTATGTCACCAAATAATTTTTTTGCCAAACTTCTTTTCTGTAACACCTGCCTGATATGGTGTTAGTGGCTTAATACCTAGAGTAAAACTGAGTCACCAGTTTTAACAGAGCAGTTTTTTCTAGCAGAAAATAAAGAGTTCTGCAGAACTCAGATAGAAGCAGTACACTTGCTGACATGAACCATAATTATGAGCACGGGTAAAGCTTTTATAAGTTTCTTCCATACCCATTAAAGTCTAAATGAATATATTAGGGGAAAACTCCAGGGTACTAACACTAAAATCATAAAAATTTCATTAAATATAAATTTGTTTATGTAAATTTCTTGAAAATTCAACAATTCAAAAGATTTCCCTGTTTTTCTGTCACGTTCAGTAAAAAGCACCTTTCGGAATCTTGATCTGTCTGTTCTTCCCAAATATACTTTCTTTGTTATTGAGTCTGTGTTTCATAGAAAAGTTTGTTTTTCACCTATTATCATGTACAGTATGTGAATACTAAAAGTATTATGAGTAAAACGAGACAAAGTTATGTTTATTTTCAAGACATTAAGATTATTTACTTTATAATATTTTACAAATCTGCTTTCTGTGATCATGTGACTGTTTAACAGAGAAGTTATGTAACTCACATTTGGAGAACTTGTTTAGTAGAATTTCTTTTCACTTGACACAGGGTTCTCACTGGGCCTTTAGGTACTGTTATGTTTCAGACATAACAACTTTCATTTGCCTTAAAACCTATTTGGCTTTGTCAGTAAATCACATGAGAATGTAATTCTAATTCAATGAACAAGATACTAAAAGCCATCAGTACCTGTTCACATTCAAACTCAGATTTCAGTGGTACTTTCTGATGTGATGTGTGGGTTTTTTTTTTTTTTTTCTTTTTTCTCTTTTTAGAACTAATGGACATTGCTTTGCCATCATAGAAGAAGATGACCAGGGAGAAACCACATTGGCTTCAGGCTGTATGAAATATGAAGGATCTGATTTTCAGTGCAAGGTGAAATCTTATTTGGGACACATGAAATAAAGAAGGCGGGGGGCACATGAAAAGCATTGGTTTCCCCTGGGAGAAGTGTGCCCGTTCTGCACATTGCTGTATGTTCATAGAAGCAAATGTATGGGAGGAAGCTTAGCTCTTAGTTCAGGTAATATGATTGTGGTCATTGAAGTTCCCTATTATTTTACTTTAAGAAAAGTTTTAAAGAATTCCAAATTGTCATGGCTGCAAAACATGATATCTACCCTTATTTGTAGATTATAAAATTTACTGAAAATACTTTAAGATGATAGACAGTAACCTTTGTATCACTCTCAGACAACTTAGAAAAGTTAGTCCTTGTACAGAGGTGTCAGTGGAGTTACTTTAAGAGCAGCAGCAAAGAATCAGAGAATCTGTAATAAAAGTTTATGAACATCCTGCTAGCTCTGGGTTGCAAATCTAGTCCCTTCAAAATTGTGTATAGAATTTTTCCCCCAGGAGATCCTTCCAATGTTTTTGTAAAATAGCTCCTGATAGAACAGTTTGTACACAGTTTTAGTCTCGGCTATGTTTGAAAATTATTCATATTATTCAGAAATTCTCAGGATTGATAGAAACCTTAAAGGCTATATGTTTCAACCTCTCAGCTAATGCTTGAAATCACCCTCTCTGCAAATCTGTCTTCCTGTCTGACTCTCTGGACCACAGAGAATAAGTCTAATCCTTCAAGGCAACAGCCCTTTAACTATGTGAAGAAAGTTTTTTCATCCTACTTTCCTCTCCACATCCTCAAGTCTTTGCTCAAGGAAAATGATAGTCCACAGTGACCTCAGCTGCTCCTTACATGATCAGCTTTAGAGTTTTTCACATTCCAGTCACTCAGTATAATATGCAGAATTGAGTGTGGTCTGACTAGGAGAAAAAGCAGAGATAAGTAACCCCTTTCCCTTTTTCTAAATACAGCCAAATCTCATGTTAGATGTTTGGCAGTCACACCATACGCTTGAAACGCTGGGCTTTCTGTCAGATAAAATCCTCATGTCTTTCACCCATGCTGCTGCCGAGCCTCATCTTCTCCACTCCTTGGTACTGTTGATTTCTTGACACAGATAGATGGGAATGGAGTGTGTTGTCAGATAGTTGTCTGTGTTAAATTTCACTGTATAAGAATTAGTCCTTTTCTCTAACATGTCAGGATTTGGGGGATGGTAATTTAGTTGATTCTCCTGGTTTTATGTCATTTATCTACTTATCAACTTCACATACTTTACATTTTTAATCACTTAAAGCAATTGAAAAAAGAGCTGTGATTAGAGCTCTTAGCCCGGTGGTAGTAACCAGGCCCCTAAACTACGCCCATCCCAAACTGAATTCACCAATATAAGATAATTGTTAAGCTTGACAGTCTTTATTCACATCCATGTGCTGCCTCTTAATAGCCGTGAACCTTTGATAAGGGGCTTCACTCTCTTGTTTTCTCATCAGTGAAGGAATTGTTGTAAGGATCAGATGAAATAACATGTATGTAAAGAATTTAGCACAGTTGGCACACAGTAAGGGCCTAATAAATGTTAGTTTTTACCATATTGATTATCTAACTGAGCAGTCTTCAAGCTGAGTTACCAACATTCCTTAGTACACACAGAGAATATTACTCAAGGGTAACATAGGTACGTGGATAGTTTTAAGGGAATCAGTTTACAGATTCTAAACTTCCTTAGGTCCCATTGCTTAAAATTGCTGTGCCTGAGGACCGAACTGCTCAAGCAGTTTCTCTTTTCTTCCTCTCTTTTCACATTCATCCTTCTCCCACTTTACAAATTGAAGGCCCTGTATGTAAAACCTCAAGTTTCCAAACAGTAATTTGAACTAAAAGTGTTAGTGTAGTGCATGTGGGGATATCAAATATGTTTGCAGGTCAGGTGGTTTTTAATTTTTTGCTTTCAACAAAATTGCTGGATCATTGAAAATAATTTTTGATGATAAGATCATTATGGGATTTTTAGCATATGCTTTGAAAGCATATGGTAAACAAATTTCTTTCATTATCATCTTTTTGGTTATATAAACAGAATGTTTTAGTGCTGACCCCCCCCCAAAAAAAGAAATAAAAATAGGGAAATAGGAATAAATTAATACTGAATCTTCTCATTCTACCAATAAGTAGTATTTATCCATAAATTCATGAACTAATTTTTTAAAGTCCCATCTGTCTTATTAAGAAATGCCTTTTCCAATAAAATTTTCTTATGGTAGTTATTTAATAAAGTGTATATTTTAACAATATATTTGTATAATAATATACACTACTAATTATATTAGTAGTACTAATAATTCTACTAATAATTATAATAAACTAGAATCAGTCACAGGAAATAAAATAATTTATGTACTTATTTTTGATGTGGAGAATTATGTATTAAAATATATTAGGTCACAATTATTGTGAGAATTTGAAAGAAAATAGAAATTCAAGGAGAAATAGAAGTTCTAATATAAAATTTCCAACTTTTAAAAGAAGCATTTGTTCTTTTTTTTTTTTTTAATGATGATAATGGGTATCAAATTGCTATGCCACTTAGATTTTACTGAATAGATTAGAGAATGATCTAATACTTCTATTTTAAAGTGTCTAATTATGTACAGTAAGCCAGAAATTATTAATACATTCTTTGTGGCTATTTAAATTTATGGTGAAAAATTGTAGATGTCAGCCTAAAAATATGTGAGGATACATTGTTTTTTAAAATTTGCTTAGGGGTTATACAAGCAAAAAAAAAAATTTTTTTTTTTTTTTTTTTTTTTTTTAAGAGATGACGGGTAAGGGGATCTTAACCCTTGACTTGGTGTTGTCAGCACCATGCTCTCCCAAGTGAGCCACAGGCCGGCCCTCAAACAAAAAATTTTGACTGTACTTATCTAACTTTCCGCATATCTACCTGTTAACCCAGGTGCATGTATACCTACAATTGTTATGGTGTCCTCAACCCTTGACTTGGTGTTGTCAGCACCATGCTCTCCCAAGTGAGCCACAGGCCGGCCCTCAAACAAAAAATTTTGACTGTACTTATCTAACTTTCCGCATATCTACCTGTTAACCCAGCACCTAACTTGAGGAGAACAGCTCTTAGTCCTACCCTAAGCCTTTTCCCCCAGTGCTTTCACATACTGCAGGTGTGCATCAAAACAAATGCACGTCCGGCCCGGTGGCGCACTGGATAGTGCGCCGCTTGGGAAGTGCGGCGGCGCTCCCGCCGAGGGTTCGGATCCCACATACAGACCGGTTCCCGCTCACTGGCTGGGCGAGGCGCGGGGGCGACACCGAGGGTTGCGATCCCGTTGCCGTTCCCGGTCCGGTACGGGGACGACACTGAGGGTTGCGATCCGTTGCCGGACACGGAAAAAGACAAAAAAAACAAACAAACAAAAAAAAAGATGCACGTGACAATTGCCACGCTTCACATTCCCTTCAAGTCCCTAGTCTCTATTTGCAAATCTAGCTTATTCTCTTTCTTCTTGCAGGTGAAAAATTTCTTGGAAACCTCACTGCCATTCCTTGTAATTTGGCTTCAGTTCCTTCCTCATATACTGTCTCCAGCCCACGTACATGAAATAAGTTTACTTAAGTCAGAATCTCCTACTTCGTAAATGCCAAGTAAAATTTTTCCCCACTAGGATTTTTATTCCTCACATAAATCTGGAGAAACAAATTGACTTGGTGGGTGGAGGATAGGGGTGGGGAGTGCAGGGAGGGAAGGGTGTGTCACCCAGCTCCATACTATGGACAGACCCGACTTTTGCTCACCTGGATAGAGTTAACCTATGTAAGAAAGAGGTGAGCACAGTCTGATGTTCCTTATTTGGTGAAGCCACATGGGATCTTCTAGAGGGTTACGAGCTTTTTTGGCTTACTCTAGAATCTCATCTGGGATTCATATCAAGCTCTCCAGAGGAGGGAGAACTAGTTTATTGAATATTTACTATTTGCATTTAGTATGCTAGGTATTTGGTATATGCTACCTCATTTCCTCCCATTTACTGTTTCTATCACATATTTTTCAACAGAGGAAACTAAAGTCCAGAGAAGTTAGTTTGCTCGAGGTCACAAAGCGAATAACTTGCAAAGCTATGATTTAAACTATTTCATTCCAAAGCCCTTGCATTTTTTTGTAATATTATGCTGCCTTCAATTTGTTGCCAAAGTCTACTTTCTTTCCCTTTTAAAGAAAATAAATGAAACATTTAGCTATCTGGTTTCCAACACTCCTTGTTTCTAAAATCTTTAAACCACAGCGGTCTTTCAGCTCTCTCTCAAGTGTTCTCATCTTCCTGGCATAAAATTCACCTAGGTTAGACAATATGAACTCATACAGAATACAGAAGTATTATAGGATCTGTTCATACATTTGAGATATTAATTCCTACCTACTGGTATTTGATTTACCTTCTTCATTCCTGTAATCATCCTTGACAGAGAAAAAAGAAACAAAATAGGAATTGGAGAATTATACATTTTTGTCCTCCATTATCCACCATTATGTCAGCAATACATTTATTGCTTGGTGGTCTTTCTCCCCACATTACCAAAGACACCCTTTCTTGGTTTTTCTTTGTACTTTCTCTTCTGCGAGGCTAAGCTCATTTTAGCCTCTCTGGACTATTCTTGGATGCTCAGCACTTCTTTTATTTACCTTTAGTTGTGTGCTCTTCATTTCATCTTTCACGCAAGTTTTCTATAGATCTCGGATTGTTTCAACATCTGGGATTATTTCGGAGTCTCCAGTGAAACAACTAATATATCTTTTCTCTTTCTCTTTACAGTTTTTAAAAGTAAAAATTGTTAAAGAGTAGAAATTCAGTTGAAATGTAAAACTTGTACATTGAGAGTCTTCCCTGCTAGAATCTCAAGTCACGGACTCCTGTTCACCTTTTTAAAGTAATTCCTGATTATACCTAGGTTTTTCCTTTCTGGCCATCTCATATTTAAGAATAGCATTGTTAATTTCTGCCTATATTCTTGCTACTTTTATTATGACAAACAGTTCTTTTCTACTAGTATTTTGGTCCAGAATGGCAATTCTCCCAGCCAGTGCTGAAATGTTAGTATTCAACTTGTCAGATATTGTACCATTAAGCAAATAAAATTTCACACGTGATTGTTGATACCTGTTCCCGTGACGGTAATCTTTTTCTGTGCTAGTTTTCTGATCTATTACGGACACATCTCCTATCTGGTTGGTGATCTCTAATAAATTCTCAGGAAGGTTCCTATGTTTTTCCTTTTCCATCACCATGTATGCTTCAACTTGCTTCCATATCAGGTTCACTAGTTTCAACATAGTTGTTATATGCAGAATCTACGCTATCTTCTACCTACTCTGCCACCTCGCTTAATCAGTCTTTTGTTTGGAATAGGATACCCTCCACTTTTTAAGTCTGACCTTAAGTCTCATCCAAGTCTCAGTCTACTGTGAGATCATATTTACCATACTAGTTTATGATTGTAATAAAAATTTATTACCCATGTTTTATAGGAAAAGATCTCATGTCTCTAGAGAATTACTTTTTTACTAAAAACAACTGAAAAGTAATATATTAAGATATGCCAAAGTATGGGATGAAAAACCTTTATAAACTTTTATTTGTAATTAAGCAAGTTATAACCTGATGTTCTAAAACACCATCCACATAAATATGTTCTCCTTAAAAAATGTTTTACAGTCTTCACAAGACTATTTCAGCACAAATCTTAATTTTTCAATAATCTTTTTTTACACATAAAATTTGGAGTTCTTTTTCACTCATTGAATTAGAAATTGCATTTTATGAATACTAAAAAAATTAATTATCTATTTAATATATTAAATTATTTCTAATTTTATCATTACTTTCCCTTTAGGATTCACCAAAAGCCCAGCTACGCCGGACAATAGAATGTTGTCGGACCAATTTATGTAACCAGTATTTACAGCCTACACTGCCCCCTGTCGTTATAGGTAGGTTCGCTGAGAAAAGTCTGAGCATGATTCTCAGCCAAATATTTTCTCTGGTTTTAACAGTAACCAAGCTACCTAGAATTTAAGGGTAAGAATTATTTTTTCCTTTTAATAAGATGTGATAGAAAGATAATCGTTTACTTCCTTTGTCAGGTCCATTTTTTGATGGCAGCATTCGATGGCTGGTTGTGCTCATTTCTATGGCTGTCTGCATAATTGCTATGATCATCTTCTCCAGCTGCTTCTGTTACAAGTAAGAAGTTACTTATTTTGATCCAAAATACTTTGTTGAACATTAGATCTCAACAGTTTTTTTTTTAAAGCCAGTGGGCAGAAGGCAGTGACTGCCATTTGCAGTTTAGAAACTTGTATTCTCTGGTTATATGGCCTTTATTTGACTGGATTATAGTTTTGTTATAGGAAAAGACCTTACTACCAATTAATTGGACACAATTTTATACTTCTTGTATGTTCGTGAATACTTATAATTTTCTTATTTATGGATAGTGAGCTTTCTTATATCTGAATTTTACAACCTGTCCCAAGAAACCAACTATATTATAGTTCTTTAATAATTTGGGGCTTCAGAATTGTTTGCATTTTGTCATGATTTTAGAAGACAATTGCCAGAAAAGAAAGTAATAAGAGGAGGCAGCTCCTACTTGATATAAACTTCAATAATAAAACATTATCCTACTGGCATAATATAGAAACATCAGTGAAACAGGTTAGTAAGCCCACAAATAGACTCAAGCACATAAATAAATTTAGTATACAGTAAAGATAACATTTCAGATCACTGAGCAAAAGATGGATTATTCAATAAGTGTCTTGGGACCAGAGAGCTATATGTGAAAAAATGAAGTTGGATCAGTTCCCTACACTGAAATCAATTTTAGCCAGATGAGAACTACATATATTAAAAAATGACTAAGAACAAACCATGAGAGAATTTAAAACCAGAACAAACCATGAGAGAATTTAAAAAAATAGTCTCAGAGTTTAGAAGACCTTTCTGAGTCTGACACAAAACTTAGAAACACTAAAATAAAAAACAATAGCACCAAGGTCACGAGTTCAGATCCCTATGCCTATTAGTTGCCAAAAAACCAAACAAACAAAACCTGATAAGATTAATAGTGTCAACTACATAAAAATAAAACTTTTACTATGTGGCAAAAACCACCACAAGCTGTCAGAAGGCAGACTACAAGTGAAAATTATTGGCAGTTCTTAATACAAAGGGGCTGATTTCCCAAATATAAGAAGCCACTGTAAATCAAAGAGGATAAAAATCTAAGCCATTAAATGAGGAAATAGGTCCAAAAAATAAACAGATGATTTATATAAAAAGAAATACTTTTATATATGGCTCTTAATAGAAGAATGGAAGGATACTCAAGAATATTCATAATAATAATATAAATTAAAATCACACGGAGATATTGTTTTTCACTTATCACACTGGCAAAGATTCAGATATTTGACAGAAGCTCTTTTAGATGAAGCTAGCAGATTGAGCATACCTAATTATTTTTATTACCCAACTAAAACAGCAATAAAGAGTTTTTAACTTTTGTCCAACTAGGACAAGGAGAACAGGAGGTAACAATAAAAAGTTTTGGAACCCGGCCGGCCTGGTGGCGCACTGCTACAGTGCGCCGCTTGGGAGTGCGGTGGCGCTCCCGCCGAGGGTTCGGATCCCACATACAGACCGGTTCCCGCTCACTGGCTGAGCGAGGTGTGGGAGCAACACCGAGGGTTGCGATCCCGTTGCCGGTCCCGGTACGGTACGGGCGTGACACTGAGGGTGGCGATCCGTTGCTGGACACGAAAAAAGACAAAAAAAAAAAAGTTTTGGAACCCGCGAAGCAGATGGATGAGTAGTAACTAACTTTGCAGACCCGAAAATTCTGAATCCTAGGCTAGAGATCGAGAAAGCCAAGAAGCAACCAGTTTATACTATACAGTTCCCAAGAAACTCAGTAATTGGCACTTGCAGTTATCTCTGGAAGTGAAGTTGAGCATGACAGTAACTAAGAGGGTTGCTTGAAAGTCTGTTTTTAGAAAGTCAAACTCTGTGTTATCCAGTACTGCATTAACAAATCATTCCAAGACTTAGTGTCTTGGAATAAGAATTATTATCTCACTGTTTCTGTGGATCTGAAATTCAGGAGTGACCTGACAGGGTGGCTCAGGGTCTTTCATGAGCTTCCAGTCAGATGTCAGCTGAGGTAGCACTCATCTGAAGGCTTGACTGGAGCCGGTAGATGATTGTCTGAGGTGGTTCTCTTCCAAAGCTGACAAGTTGCAGACTGATTTTTGGCAGGAGACCTTAGTTCCTCTCTATGTGAGCCTCTGTACAAAGCTGCTTGAGTGTCTTCACAGTGTGAAACCTGGCCTCCCTGCATAGAAAGTGATCCCAGAGACCAAGGCAGAAGTGGCAGTGCTGTCTCTGATCAGGGCTTGGAAGTCATACCATCACTTCTGCCATATTCTGTTTGTCACATGGCTCAGCCCTGACATGTTATTGGAGGGGACTAAACAAGGGCATGAACATCAGGAGGTGAGATTGATTATAGTACATTTGGGATGCTGGCTACCACACATGTTGAGATCTCTTCTTCATCCCTTCTGTGAATAATCATGTGACTTCCCCACCACCACCCTAACAGAAGGCTAGAATGTGTTTTCTGGAAAGAACAAAAACAGAATTTCCCAACTTTAGTGCCCTATTGTTGAGGATTAGGCATTAGAATGAAAACATGCTGATTGATGGGCCCCTCAGCCCTGCCAGAATCCTGTCAGCCAGGCCTTTGCTCTTGAGACAACAGATAGCATGATGGTTCTTAGGGGAATCTGTTCAGCTCAAGAGAAAAGACCTAAAAATGCTGCCTTTGAGGCCCAATGAAAAGGTCAAGGCAGATTCTCGTACAGTGAAGCCTATAATCAATTAGCCCCACTCATGTACTAACAGTTGCCAATCAGGGCATCAGACTGTGAAGGACACTGATCTCTGATAAATAGAAAACAAATGAAGTCAGCTTTATCATTGTCCACCTCACTGCCTGAAAAGAGTTTCTGGCTGCAGGGTGTAAAGGAAACCCAGGTATAGCCCAGCAGACTCTGAGTTGAGCAGTTGGAACTGAGAGTCTGGGGAGATAACAACTGTAGTTCACAAGACAGAGCATTGGAGAGGAGAGAGCCTCACAGAGAAAGACGACATCTGCAGAAGATTCCCACCGAAGATTAAGCTGGTTTCTTCATGTGAGGAAACTACCCAAGGCTGGGGGAAGAACACCTAAAATGATTGGAGGAAACAGCATTTGTTGCTCACACAATGCTGGGAATGGTGTCTGTTCCTACCATCCACGAGACTTGAAAACCTCATATTTCATAGGTTTTGGTTAGAGTACTCAGAAGGATCTTTACCTCATGGAATAAGTAGCTCTAGACTAAACGTGGCTGTGGTCCTGCCTTAAAACTAAGATCCAGAAGGATCGTACTGTTTCCAAATAACTGCATCCTGGAACAAATCTCAAGAATATTTATAGGAATACAAAACTATCCAGCATCTAAATAGTGTAATATCTGCTATTCTATCTGTGAATACTAAGTATGCAAAGAAGTAGGAAAATATAATCCATAAGTAGAAAAATATTAAGCAATGGAAACCATCAACCCAGAACTGACATAGATCTTAGAATTATCAGACAATAGAATTAAAATAGTTATTAGGATTGTATTTTATATTTTCAGAAAGTTAAATAGAGACATGGAAGCTTTTTTAAGAGACCCAAATAAAACTTCAGGAAATGAAATCCATAATACCTGAAATGAAATATACAGTGGATGAGATTAATGACAGATTAGACACTGTAGAAGATAAGATGGGTGAACATCAAGACATAACAATAGAAACTATACAAAATAAAACAGAGAAAAGAGAATGTTAAAAACGAATAGAGCACTAGTGAGCTGTGAGACATCTTTAAGTGGGCTTATATATAGACGTAATTAGAGTCACCAGAGGTGAGAAGGGGATTAAAAAATATTTTAAGAAATAATGACCAAAATTTTTCCAAATTCAATGTAAACTCATAAATCTAAAAAGTTCAACAAACCCTAAGTATAAGAAACAGAAAACTACACCAAGACACATCATAGTCATATTGCTCAAAACCAGTGAGAAAGAGAAAATCTTAAATGCAGACCAGAGGAAGAAAGCAGATTATGTACAGAGGCAAAAGATGAAAATGACAGCAGATTTTTCATTGGAATCAATGTAATCAAGAAGATAGTGGACCTATATCTTTAAAGTACCCAAAGAAAAAAGTCACGAATGTAGAATTTTATATTCAGAGAAAATATCTTTCAAAAATGAAGGCAACTAGTGCACACGGAACAGGGTGACGTCTGGCAGGAGAGGCAGGAACTCTGCGGGGACCACACTGCCACTGCGTGATCCAGCAGCCTGGCGCGGTGCACACGGAGCAGGGAGACATCCAGTGGGGGAGGGAGAAGATCTGCAAAGACCACACCGCTGCCACGTGCGATCCAGCAGCCTGGCCCAATGTGTATGGAGCAGAGAGACATCTAGCACGGGAGGTGGAAGCTCCGTAGAGACCACACACCCTGTGGGGGCGCTGCCGCCGCACGATCCAGCAGCAGGTAGGCTTCACCGCTGCCACCCAGCTCCATCCCAAGCCCGGCCCAGCACGCACGGAGCTGGGAGACGTCCAGCAGGGGAGGTGGAAATTTGGCAGAGACTGTGCACCCTGCGGTACCACCTCGTGACCCAGCAGCCCGGCTGAGTCCAACCCAAGCCCGGCCTAGCATGCATGGAGCAGGGAGACATCCAGCAGGGGAAGGGGAAGCTCCACAGAGACCACACACTCTGCGGTGCCTCCGTGCATCCCAGCAGCCCAGCCCAGCGCGCATGGAACAGGGAGAAGTCCAGCACAGGAGGTGGAAGCTCAGCAGAGACCACACAGCCTGCGGTACTGCCCAGTGATCCAGCAGCCCAGCAGAGTCCAAGCTGACCAGAGAGGTGGCTCCCCAGAGAGGCCCAAGACCTGAGGCAACCACACACGCAAGGCACTAGTGGCCAACTAGTGAGCAGACACTAAGGTAGCCATACCAAATTGGCAACCACAGCAACATCTTAGTCAGACAATAGTGTCAAACCTGTGGACTGTGAAAACCCCCGCCACAATGAATAAACATCAAAGAAAAGATACCAGAACTGCAAAA